AGCAGTGGTCTTTTTGTTTAGCCAAGAAGGATCAAAACAAAGGCTGTTTCTTCTCATATTGTTTGCGTCCATGATTTACCTGTGAGTTCTTGGCTTACTTTGACTTTGATGCTTCATTGCTTGTTATATTCTTGTATAGCCTCTGTTTTGTTGCTAGATAACCATGGGGTTTCATTTCTTCCAGATATCAAACTGGAGCGATTACACCTTTCTTAAGATGGCTCCAGCGGGCGGGAGGTGTGGCCGCTCGTCCGCCACAGGCTCCTGCTAACCGTGCTCCTCTGGCTGCCCAGAATGATGGCAACGAGCAACCTGGTAGCCATCCTTTACTCTCCATAATCTGCCACTGCACTTTCAAACACCAGATCCACTCCTGTGAATCTCTAAACACGACCATAATATTATACTTGACCTTTTCACCACTATCACTTCAGTGGAGGTTCATACTTGTTTCTTTATGGTTTGCAAGGCAGAAAGTTTCCTAGCACTTGCATGAAGTAAAGTTGTATAAATATCACAAAGTGGCCATCGGTAGCACCAATAAATAGGATGGATGTGGAAGTTATCTTTTCATGCTGACCCCTTGGCTCATGAAATAACATTTCTTGCTGCAATATGTTAGATATTCTCTGATTGTCAGGCATTTGCTCCAATTACTAATATCTTTATTATAACAAGAGGCGCCAATAATCGATATATGTTTCATTTAGTTGGCAGTATCGATGTAATTAATTCGTATATCAATTCACTGTCTGCTTCTCAGGTGGAAACCTCGCAGATCCTGCAAACCCTGACCAAGCCGCGGAGAACCAGGAACCAGGAGCAGCAGCGGGCAACGAGAACCAGCAAGGTGCAGAGGGAGAAGCAAACCGGCGCAGCTGGCTCGGCGGCATCTTGAAAGAGGTCCAGCTGGTCGTTGTAGGGTTCGTCGCGTCGCTTCTTCCTGGTTTTCAGCACAATGACTAGGTGAAAGTCTTCCCGTGGCAGAATCGAATATTGGCACCGTAACTGTTTGTTGTGACATAGGGAGGAAGTACAAGCAGAGGATATATATAAAGCGGGTTCAAATAAGACTTGTGTTGCATATGCTTGTTATAAGATTGACTGAATGCAGTGCTGTTGTACATCTTGTTTTCGTTTCAAGTGCTCTAGTTTCCTTTGATCTTTCATCTGGTTTATGAAGTATGAACTTCTTGAACCTACGGGCATCCATGGTGCAGCTATCACCACTCAAAGAAAATGTAAGTAATTCTTTTTTTTTATCATATGGTGAATGAAGATCACAGATATGAGTTCCTGAGCGCTATACCTGTGTTATGCATTTACGATCTTCATTTTATGAGCTGTAACCTTTCTATGCGAAAATTGCAAGCTACGCCTCAAATCTAATGATGCTAGGTGATGCTTTTTTGTCCTTTAACGATGGTCCATGCTCTATGAAACTATGTGATACTGCGCGCGCGCACACACAAAAAAAAAACTCATTTCACTTTGAAATTATCGCCAGCAATTTAACTCATTGATTCATCCAAATTCAACTAAACTATCACGAAGATTTAACATCAAATATGACAAACACGCACTGCAGTGCGCGGGCATGCACACGCACACAGACACTTTCTTGGAGAAACTTTCAATCTACTCATAATCTATCGTGGCAGTACAAAGAACAACAGAATTAACAAAACTACAAACAGGGTTCGTGGACCACCAATGACTCCAAACACTGGAGTGAGTCGAAGACGCGTCGTCGTCATCGTCTACTCTTCACAGAAGCTGGGTAAACCTTGTTGTAGTAGACGGTCGGAAAGTCCTCGTGCTAAGACCCCGCAGGACCAACGTAGCAAGCAATAACTATCGCCAATGAGGAGAATTGTAGACCCTAGACCGAAAGTAACAAACATGTAACCACATGAACAAAGATTGGATCCAAACAAATCCACAGAAGACCAGCACCGATCGAATCATGTGAGATACGACGGAGAAACACATCCACATGCCCTTCAACGACGCTAAATGCACAATCTGGATAGGGATCGCCGTCGCCACATAGCCCCAACCAAGACTTTGACCTAACAAAAAACAATAGCGGGGTCCCTGCCATCGGGAGGCAAGACAGACCAACGGTGGCGTCGACAGGAGGAGGTAAAACCTAATCGCCTTGTGGGGAGGAGGAAACGATTTTACACACTCTCTTGCTCCATGACTTCTGTTAGTCATATTTCTCACCTCTAGATGTTTTTACTTTGTTCAACTTGAACCCCCGACGTCTTGACAATAGTTGACGATCCATGTTAAGTCAATTTTCTTTCATGGACGTATCCCTTTGCCTTTTCTAACGCATGCCCACGCACTAGGGTTTCTCCGCCTCCCATCGGCGTCGGCGCCTATCCGCATCGTCTCCGGTGACCTTAGAGCCGTTGAGGAGCAATGGACCTTGGCCCTTGCCAGTGGGAAGATTCCTGCTCTGTTTTTAGGTGTTCTTTTGAGGTTGATTAGTGTTTGTGTCCTTCTCAGGAAGGTGAGGCAATGACGGCTCCCTGAAGATGGAATAAGCTTCTCCCGGCCGAGCCCCCGACCTGATGGTGTGTCTAGCGTTGTCAGAGAGCGCGTGGATGTGTGTCTACGTTGATATCGTGGGATTTGGTCGATGTTGGTCTTCAATGGATCTACGTGGAACCAGTCTTCATTCGTGTGTCTTTATGTTGGATCCTTTCAATCTATGTTTCTATTCATCGACAACAGTTGTTCTGGTGCACTAGTCATGTGGGATCTTAGTACGACAATTTTCTGACTGTCTACTATAATAAGTTTTCCCCTGCTCTACTGAGGGAGGGGCGATGACGGCGGTACGATTTCGGCTCGCTTCAGTGTTTGTAGTCATCGCCAGGCGGCCTACACGGACCTGGATGTATTTTTTTAGGGGTAAAGGGAGATCTCTATTGCTTAAGGTGGTGCATTATTCTTACAAAGTTCAACAACTTCATCTAAGCCTCCCCTAACCACACCGCAAGGCGAGGATTGCTACGCCAGTAGGTCGCTAGCCCATGACTAACTTCTTTTTAGTATCACTATCTTAGCAATTAGAATCTTCCTATCACATTTCCTCAGCTCCTTGATCTCTCGTATTGCCACCATATGCCTCGACCGGTTTTGGTAAGTAGCATGTAACATGAACATTGCCTCAGAGCACTCCAGCTCCAGATGGATGTAAATTTATTATTTATAGTGTTCCTTGTACAACTATGAGTCCATGACAGACGATGAACAAATTGAAAGTTTTTTCCCATAATTTGTTTGCATTGTTTTCATTTTCTTTTTCACAATCACAGTCATTCTGCATTGTAGGACGAAGCATATCGGATGCACCTGATAAACAAATAGCATAATCATCAACTTGGGGTTTGATGGTTAGGACAATGATATCCCAATTCACCAGATGTTCAGTCCTAGACTTGACATTGGTGCTCGCATTTTTCTGGATTTATTCCAAGACTTCCTGCAACGTGCGTTCAGTCTTCAGTGAGAGGGGGCGTTCCCGTTGACTACGAAAGCGTCTGCGGCGATTTCATCAATCTCAAGATGAGGTGCAAGCTCAGCCTCTCGGAGGTGATGTGCGTTCGTACATTTGTCTGACGAGTGTGTGATGTGAGCGTGAATATGAACGTCTGCGTTACCACGTTAAAAAAAGCTCAATCTTGGCATGGGTGACGGTGCATCTTGATGCCTATCCTATCTAACTTTTTTTTCCTACTCCATGTAACTTTCAAATGCTGGGTGTAGTAATCTTTTCAGCACACAAGAAAAAAAAAGGCTAAGCCCATTGGGAAAAAAGAGAGGAAGAGGCTGAAAAACCACCGGAAAACCGCGGCCAACACGCACGCACGGCCATTGCCATTGCGTTGGGCGCCGCCGCGTAAACAGGGGCTCCCTTTCCGGCCGGATTAACCACGGTTTTATACTCCACCACGTCAACGTCAACGCCCACCCCACCTCCACGGCAGCCAGCCCATCGCCGCCTCTTCTTCC